AGAGAGAGAATATATAATATATATCTATATCTATATAGATAGATATATCTATGTATAAAAAATAATATAATATACCTCTGCACAGCACCATCTAGTGGCAAAGTAAAGAAGATTTCCATCTGTAAGGAAGCGAGGGATGCAGGCTTTCAACTGTTTTTGTATGCTGGATTTTGTGTCATTTCTGCATCTCAGGAGCTATGAGCAATGTGGGCCCCAAAAAAGTAAGTGTTTATCCTAGGGATGCACCAAAACCGATTTTTCAGTATCGAGTACTGATATTTTTTTCGGTACTCGCCGGTAATGAGTACCGATAACTGTGCCTTGTGCCCCGATTATCAGGCAATAGAGAGAGACTTGTTGCACTCCTTACCAGATTCCCCAACGACAGGGGAGGGTGCTTGCAGTGACTGGATGGCACCGCTAGTTGCATGGATCATTTGAAGAGATATGTCACCAGCACACCGAAAATCCTTTCAGGATAACCATGTGTTCATTTAATAAGAACCATGACAAGTAAAAACAAGCGCTTTTGGGGTCATGCAGGGTCCCTTCATCAGGCTTAACATTAAATGATAAGTCTGATTAGGGGACCCTGCGTGGCCCCATGGTTCTTATTAAATGAACACATGGTTATCCTGAAAAGATTTTTGGTGTGCTGGTGACATCTCTTCAAATGAGCTGATAATCAGGAAGCCGGGCGGCGGATCATGACCCGTCACCCGGCTTCCCGATTGCCTGGGTAGCTGGTGTTCTATTGAAAGAACCCCGGCTTCACTTGCCGAGCCAGCCTGGCTTCCTAACCAATCAGAAAGTCGGGCAGCAGGTCATGAGGTGCCATCCGGCTTCCTGACTGGTGAGGAAGCCAGGCTGCCGAGCAACAAGGTAAACCGACCTACCAGTCAATCAGGAAGCCGCTAGGAGGTCATAATCCACCACCCAGCTTCCTGATTGGAAAGGAAGCCGGTTCCATGCACTGAAAGAACCCCGGCTTCACTTGTCGAGCCAGCCTGGCTTCCTACCCAATCAGAAAGTCGGGCAGCAGGTCATGAGGTGCCATCCGGTTTCCTGACTGGTGAGGAAGCCAGGCTGCCAAGCAACAAGGTAAACCGACCTACCTGTCAATCACTAGGCAGGTCATAATCCACCACCCAGCTTCCTGATTGGGAAGGAAGCCGGTTCCATGCTCCCTCGGCACTGCCGGTCAGAGGGAGATCTTCCTCTGACCAGAAGCTCCAGTATCAGTGTAGGAGCATTTGGGGTGAGTACAAGTACTCTAACAAATACTCAGTATCTGCACCAATCCCTATACCGATACCAGTATCGGTATAGGGATGCATCGATACCAGTATCGGTATAGGGATGCGCCGATACCAGTATCGGTATAGGGATGCGCCGATACCAGTATCGGTGCATACTAGAAAAAAATGGTACCTGCATGAATCTATAACCAGCCTTTTTGGCAGGGAGCACATTGGGAAGGCTTACAACAATACAAAAACAAAAAAAATCCCCAGCTTCACCTGCCAGCTAGCCTGCAACCAAACAAATTGCCCTGTCAACTCTAGAGTTAGGACGACACTTTGCAGAGGTGCCTTGGCGCGGCGGTGTGGCTTCTACATACTTTTGGCCAAAGGTTTGTGCAACTAAAACCTCTGATTTTAACGCATACTGTTGACAGGGCTATTTGTTTGGTTGCAGGCTGGCTGGCAGGTGAAGCTGGGGATTTTTTGTGTTTTTGTATTGGTGCATCCCTATACCGATACTGGTATCGGCGGATCCCTAGTTTATACACAGTTTTATGTCTCTAAAACTGTAATAGGATTTTGGTAAAGAAACAGTTTAAATAATGATTTTCGGCCAATTTAATTTTGAGTGTACAAGCTTATAAACTGAAGTTTTTTATCTTTTATATGTATTAAATCTTTATTGCTCAAAGGAATCTTTCATACAGCACACTGTCACTGACTTTGAAAAGCATTCTGGGCATTCTAGAGAGAAACCCCAGCATTGGCTGTTCATTTTGTAACCATCTTAGACCCCATTCACACGTAGCGACATACCTTTTGCAGCGGCCGGGATAGCGCGACTTTCGGGGCGACGATCCAGCGACTGTAGCGCGACCTTCTCTGTCGGGCTCCATAGAAAAAAAGCAAAATCCGCCGAAAAAAGGGTCCGGTAGAAGCGACTTGCGACAGCGACGAGCGACATGGAGTTAAGACAGCTCCATTGAATAGCATTGGCCGGCGACTTCTCACGATATCGCGCAGCGGAAATCGCGCGATAATTCGCTACATGTGAACGGGGCCTTAGAGTAACTGAAAACCCTCACAGGCCATAGAAGGAGGATGGCTTCCCTCCTCTAAAATCCAGGTTGGTGGGAGGTAAGTGATCAGGTTGCCTTACCACAAAGCCAAATTGAATTCACAAAAATAGATAGGAAGTCACAGACTCGGCACTAATAACCACCACTTTGATAGTGATCCCTACACTTTCCTGTCACAACAGCTGACAACATATGACCGTGCAAACCAACAGACACCAGAGTTAGACCCAGTGAATATAAAAGGCCTGCTTAGGCCCCCTCCTCTTTGCAATACAAGTCCATAGAGAACACTTGTAATGTGGGGTGTGGCGGTTACTCAGCTACGCCAGCATAGAGCACTGGAGTGCGAGAATAGGAAGAACCATTTCCACCGAGAGAAAATTGTATTTTAAAAAGGCATTTCCTAGCAAAAATCAGTCACAAATCACAACATAACGCATCAAACCAAACTGCACAGACATCCATAAAAGTCAGGTGTGGACTCATTTTGAATTCAGGCGCTAGTCTGTCCCAACCAGGAGCCAGCAGGATTCTTGTAGAAGCCAGCTCCATTGAAAACGAGAGAAAACCTCAAAAGTTGTATGCCAGCTGTAAATTTCAGGAAGGATTGGCTACCTGGCTCTTGGGGTTTGCCCAGCCCTGCCGTAAGTAATCCTTGTGATGGGTGGGTGCGTGGCTTAATGGTGGTGCCATGCCAAATCCAATAATGAAGCCATAACCAGCACACTGAGGGCCTGTTCACACGACGTCCGTTTTCTGTCCTGACCTGATCCGTACGCTCCTGCACTAAAAATGCATCCCAATGTATCCCTATGTGTTTTATGGGCTACAGTTCTCACATGCGCAGTCCGTTCGGGTTACGACAGAAAAAATACTGCATGTCACATTTTGCCCGGTCAGGAAACGGACCGGAAACGCAAAACGCATCAAAAACGCACTGCACTGCAGCTAACATACAAAAAAATTAAAAAACATTTTTTACATTTGAACGCATCAAAAACGCACTGCAACAGTAGCAACGCGTCTGCAGATCAGGACCTGATATCATGTGAACAGGCCCTAAGAGGTCAATTCTGAAGTAAAACCCCCACGTCAGCAAAAAAAAGTTGCACCAACATTTTAAGAGCACGGTGGCCCTCTTTTCAAGGTGAGAGATATAGGCAAATCATAACACGCCGGGGTACAGGACTACAAAACAAGGAAATTGTGCGAGACGTCAATTTGGCTTTAACTGCTGTGGGGCCAATCTGGCCGTGCTGTCTGACAGAGGAGTCTAGCGCGTTTCCTCATCCTTTTTTAAGCCACGGCAGCCTTTAAAAGTAAACAAAACCTTGAGGCTAGGGCTGCAACCAACTAATCACTCCCGGGCTGAAGCTGTTTAAGCGCCATGTGCTTACAATACAATCATTAAAAAATATATATATATAAAAAAAGGTGGGAAAAAAAGTCATTTTTGGTTTCGGCCTGACAAATTCTGCTGCAGGACGTGCGTTGCAGTGCCATTCATTTCAATGGCACCTCAAACACGCCTCCCACCCACAGTGTGATCGCTTGCAAAAAATTGTGCATGCAGTTTTATTCCAAAGCAAACTTTGTGTTTGTAACACTCCATTTGTGTATTTATTTTAAATGAGGCCTTGTTCACACCAAGCGCGTTCCAGGAGCAGAGCAGATACAGACCGGATCAAAACTGCGTCCAATGTATTCCAATGGTATTTTGGGCTCTAGTTCACACCGCAGCGTTCCGTTCCAGAGCAGGTATAAAAAACTGCAGCCAGCCCTATTTTACCTGCTCTGGAACGCATGCAAGCGCATCCAATTGCCCTGGAACGCACTAAAAAGCCC